TACCATTGGTTATTATTATTAGCTTCATTTCACACAAAGACACCAGGGTTAGTGGCTGGCTGGACCGAGATCTATGTGGAGAGCAGAGCTCACACCAAAATGCATGCTTTCTATCACTCTGTTTAGAGACAGACACACCTGATTTCAAACCTTGAGACGAAAATAGCTTTCTAATTAAAAATGGTTTAAAACTAGGCAACTTAGGCAAATTATTCTTTTCTTTCATGTATCTGGGCTTTCCTGCCTTGTCTAAGCACATTTATTCTTTCTAATGCTCCCTGACTGTAACCAAAACCTCCAGAGCCCTTCACCCCATCCTCTGATTGCCATGAAAGGCCAATCTCAGATAAATAGTTTAAAAAGTGACAAGAAAGCAGGATTTGAAGTCAGAAGACTCGTATTTGAATCTTACATCAGGTTTGTATTAATTGTCTGACCTAAGGCAAATCTTTTTATCGTTCTGAATCATAGTTTCCCTATCTAAAAAATAAGATGTAGAGTTGTTATTATTGGTGGTGGTCTGTCCTAAGCATTAAATTAAGAAATGCATGTGACATGTTCTGAAAACTGGAAGATACCATACACTTGGAAAGGAGTCTGTTACCGTCTCACCAGTGCACCACAATGTAGCTGTCTCTCCATGTGAGGTTATCACCTGAGACCAAGAGAATTAAGGAGTGTGGATACGAAGGGTGAGGTTGGAGTAAAAGTTTAATAAGTGAAAGAAGAAAGCTCTCTGCTGCAGAGAGGGGACACAGAAGAGGGTTACTGTTTTTCACAGTTGAATATAAAGGCTTTTACAGGAAACTGATGAGGACTGGGCATGTCATTTGCATAAGTCATGTATTTCTGGTAGCTCCACCCCCATCCCCCTAATGTGCATGTAGGCCCTTAGCTTGAGTTACCCTATTGCTTTGTTCCCCTTATTACACATGTGTCAGGATGAAATTTTCCACCGTAGGCATGTCTGTACAAGTCACCCGTGTAGCCTTTCTTATCTGTGCAGCTGTGGGCATGTCTTGGGCAAGCCCCCCTGTGCAAGTTCCCTTATCTGTTCTTGCAGGCTGTTCTTTTGTTTGAAAGAATTCAATCCACTACCATCCTAACTGCCTGCCTGATTGATTTCTTTCTTTCTCCTCTCTCAATTCTTATTAAGGCAGAAAAATTCTAGAATGACTTTTTGTCCTATAGCCTGGTTCCCAGAATGTTTTGGGAATGTAACCACCCAATGGGTTCACCTTGCCCACTGCCTAGACAGAGCCAATTTATCAAGACAGGGGAATTGCAACAGAGAAAGAGTACCTAATGCGGAGTCGAAGAGAAAAAAGATAAGGTCTTTTAAATATTTATAGCTTGGATATTCATGTTTAATTACATAGAGCTATTTTGTTTAAATACATGTTTAATTACATGTATTTAATTACATAGAGCTATTTTGTTTATAAATACATGTTAAATTACATGTTTAATTACATAGAGCTATTTTGTTTAAAAAAAATATCTTTTACATCTCTTATTACCAGACTGTAGTCAAGACAGCCAATATTTCTGGCCTTGAATTCTACCCCAGGAAACCACCCTTATGAAATTAGTAAGTTTTAATTAAGGTTATAACTTAGCCATGGATACATAAGATATTTTAAAGAAATGGTAAAAAGCTGTTTTTTTTTAACAAGATTTAGAATATCCCCAAAGGTAGTTCAGTGATAGGAAAGTTCAAGACAGGAAATCAGAAGGTATCCATGGGTTGAAAACAAAAACCTCAATAAATGGCAAAGTTACACAAATAACAAACCAGAAGGGAATCATTCTGGAAGCCAAGAAGTGAGCCCAGGCCCCCACTGTCAAAAGATAAAGCCTTAGCTACTGAGCTACACAGCATTGAGCAGTTTCTATAGCTCTTCCCAGAAGTCTAGAGCTGCTGATTTCAAGTTTGTAAAGACTTTTAACTGCTCAAGAGAATTGTTAGGGCTTTGACATAAACCCCAAAATTTCTGTCCTCTGGATGGTAGAGACCAAGATAAAGTTTTTTTTACATGGTCACAAGGTTAGGCTCTTAAGGACACAAAACAAGACAGAAATTTCATCTGGTATTGGTTTCAGGGACCCACAGCAAATTTTATAACTGACCAGCCTGCTGGGTTGGCTTGAAAAACAGGCTTATAGGGGTCCTAAATTCATATTGTATCTGGACACCCCTCTCTCCATTACAGAAAGACAAATTCTTAGCACAAAGTGTACCAGATTTTCTATAGCCAAAGACTAGTCTCACAAATCCTTTTTTTACTATTAAACTCTTGCAGATGAGACACACAGTAACATTTATCATATCGCTTACCACTGCCCTCCCCCCACCTTACACGGCAGAGAGAGAGAGAAAGAGAGAGAGAGAGAGAAAAGACACTTTTCTGGCAAGAATACTTACCATTTTTGCCATCATATCAGGTTTCTGGGTCCCCTTTCTCTGCAGCTTCCAAAAGAGTGGAGCAGCTTTTGATGGCCCTGTTCACTGTGCCATAGCTGTGGGGGATTAAGCCCCATTACAAAAGAAAATCATCCTTTTCTGTTTCATGGAACCATAGGTAAAAGCTTCTCAATTTTGCAAGATGCTGCCTGACAGGCTGCATGGGGAACTAAATTAACATTTTCCATCCCAGTGGAAGCAAAATACACATAATGCAACAGACACTGGTCACCTGGTTTGGTACCCAACATCAACCTGGCAAGGTTCAAACTTTTTCCTGTTGGTTCTTCTTGTCTTTGATCTATGCAAAGTGGGGAATGCTGACCTCCATTCAGGAGTTCAATGAGTGGTCTCTGGGCAAGATGAAGAGCAGTCACTCCAATCCAGGGCTGTTAAACTTCTTTCAGCACTCACAGAATGTGACCAGATAGATAAGGAGAGTTCTTTGAGTTAGGCCTGCTGGACTTCAATCAGCAATTCCTTCAGAGATCCTTTCTACATATACAAATACATACAGACAAGACAGACAAAAGGCCTTCCACATCAAGATTCCTAACCAAGAATTCCAGAGTATTTCTTTCTTCCAGACTATCCTCCTATTTTCTGTTTGAGAAATCTCCCTGAAATCTTCTTGATTGAGGAGAAGTCTCTCGAACCAAGACTCTTTCTATTAGTTAGGGAGAGCCAACTGAGACCCCCCCAGGAGCCAAAGCAAGACAGACACCCCATGGTGTAGCTACAGACACCCCACCATGGGACTACAGAACTAGTTGGGAGAAGGAAGGAGACACTGGCAACACGTAGGATACTCACCAACCAAGACACCCCACAATGGGGCTATAGACAGACACCGTGTGATAGGGCTACAGTTAGGGTACGTCTCCCCAGGACTATTTCTATATTGCAATTAAATACGTGCACATTAGGTCAACAGTACCCTATCAGTACAGAGAATACCAGAGTCAGCACCCCTGCCGTGTCTAAGTGAGGTAGGCAGCTGCTTGGGCTGGCCTCTGAAACCATTGCTAGAGGGGGCTAGTGAACCACAGGCAGGGGTAGCCACAAGGGCAATCCTGGCTAAGCCTCCAAATTTATAACCACCCAATGGGTTCACCTTGCCCACTGCCTAGACAGAGCTGATTTATCAAGACAGGGGAATTGTAATAGAGAAAGAATAATTCACCCAGAGCCAACTGGGCAGGAGACCAGAATTTAATTATTACTCAAGTCTCCCCAAACACTCAGGGATCAGAGTTTTTAAGGATAATTTGGTGGGTAGGGGTCCAGTGAATCAGGAGTGCTGATTGGTTGGCTCAGGGATTAAATCATATGGAGTCAAAGCTGTTCCCTTATGCTGAGTCACTTCCTGGGTAGGGGCCACAGAACTGGTTGGCAGATCCAGCTGGGGCCATCTAGTTGGCAGAAATCCAAAAACCTGAAAAGACATCTCAAAAGGCCCATCTTAGGTTCACAACAGTGATGGTACCTTTAAGAGTAATTGGGGAAGTTGCAAATCTTATGACTTCTGGAATAATGGCTGGTAATATCTAGAATTCCAGCCCCTCTTGTTCTAACTTGGTGGCTGGTAGCCTTCCATTCATTTTACAAGAATGTTTAGTTCTTGGGAAGGACTATTATATAAACTACAAATTGCTTCCCAAGTAGTTCAGCCTACACCCAGGAATGGAGAAGAACAGTTGAGAGATTAGAAACAAGATGGCTTTGGTTAAGTCTGATATTTGTCACTGCCATAATTTTCTTAGTGATAGTTTTGCAAAGGCAGTTTCAGGAACATCATTGTTTGCACAGTACTTCCATACTCTTAATTTGTAGTTGCATATGTTTGCCTGTTTTACCTTTTAAGTGGCAGGAGTTTTGAGTCTAGTTTTGAAAGAAACTTGTGTGTCTTTCAAGTTTCTTATAGAACTTAGAAATAATGTATGTTTAATAAATGCTAGAGGTACAGATAACATTCAGGCTTTCCATGCATCTGTCTTTCATTTTTCGTTGGGATGTTTTTCAACAGTCTGGGGACCTCTTAACAATGTGGGTGAAAGGCTTTGAAAAATCTCTAAAAGCCCTATATAATGCAAAAGTATTTTAAACTTACAGGAGGTGTTATTACTACTAATACTGTGCAAATTAATGCATAGTTGTGGAAATAATAACTCCATAAGCAAAAATGCTTTTATTTGTGTTTTGTTCTTTGCATTGTGCAAATACAGCCTATATAAGTCAAATTTCTACATTTCTGTATCCTGTGTTCCTTAAGGCATATCTTGAGATATCAAAAGAATAAAGAAACATAACAACATGAAATCACATAAGATTGGAGCTTAAAGATCATTATGTTCAGCCTTGCCATTGTGCAGACGAGGAGACTAAGAGACACAAAATAACTTGCCTAACGTCACACAGCAAAATAGTAATCTTTTTTCTGTCATTATTCATCCTCTGAAATATTTGGATGTATTTAGCATTATTGATATTTCCTTGAAAAAAGAACAATTTTTAAAATGAAATCTTTTGTTTCCAGGGTAGAGCAATGCATTGCTCCTTAGGCTCACCTAAGGAGGTTGTAGAGATGAGCCCAAGGAAGGAAACCAGAAGAGTCCCTGGGTTCACCAGTTATTTGTTGGCTCCCTACAAACTTGTCATTCAAGTGGCTAATCTTACACCAGTACCAGGTGAGTTTCTCTAAATTAAATATTGAGTCACTTCAAATAATTTTTTCTTGAGCATCTAATTCATGCCAATGGTGTGCTAGGTTCTATGAGAAAATAAATGTGAATTACAGATGAAAATAAATAACCATCAGGCCAGGTACAGTGCCTCATGCTTGTAATCCCAGCACTTTGGGAGGCCAAGGGGGGTGGATTACTGGAGATTAGGCATTTGAGACCAGCTTGGCCAACATGGTGAAACCCTATCTCTACTGAAAATGCAAAAATTAAGTGGGCATGGTGGTGCATGCCTGCAATCCCAGCTACTCAGGAAGCAGAGGCATGAGAATTACTTGACTCTGGAAGGCAGAGGTTGCAATGAATCAAGCTCTCACCACTGCACTCCAGCCTGGGAGACAGAGTGAGACTCCGTGTGTTGTGTGTGTGTGTGTGTGTGTGTGTAAAATCAGAGAATAGAATGAGTATAGCCCAGTGGACAACACCATGGACTATGGAGCCAGACCACCTACTTACCAGCTGGATGATTAATCTCGAGCAAGACCCTTAAGCTCTTTGGGAGTCAGGTTCTTCATGTATAAAGTGTGGCTTACTTAATGTTAATAGTTTCTGTGAGGTTATGAATTTAACAAATATCAAGCTCTGTGCCAAAGCTAACTACTTTGCTAATCACTGATTTTGCAAAGTGTGTTGTGGAGATGTGGCTGGACAGGTTTGCCATCAGAGTGGATATACTGTTGTGTTAAAAACAAGCTGCCAAGTTCTTTAGCCAGTGGTTGGTTGGTCTGAAATCCTTGCAAGATGCTGATGCTCAAGCTGTTGACACATGCATTACCTACTTTAACAACTATCAGAGAAACATGATATGGGGTAAGCAGGTGCTTTTTAAAAATTGTTCATGGACTTCTGTAAAATGCAAGATAAATAAGTTATTATAACAGTGGAAAAAAAATAGCAGGTGCTTACAGGGTCCGACATATAGTAAGTGCTGTAGTAACAGTTATTTTACATGTGTTATCTCACCAGGTCTCACTCTAAGCCTATGAAGTAGAAACCATACACCTTTTATGCAGGAGTAAAATGAAGAGGTCAAGTAGCCTGCTTACAGTCACCCTGCAATCAGCAACAAAGCCAAGAGTCAAGCCCGACAGCCAGGCCTGGTCTCGTAAACACTGTTCCAGCTGCTGTCCTCAGATACAAATCTTGCTCTCAAGAAGGTCGTATTCTAGAAGCCTTATTGCAGGACTGAAAACACTAAGTACCACTAGAGAAATAGAAATAATGTGGATGGGGATTTCACAACAGGGCCTCTGGGAAATTGTTTCCAGCTTAGAAAATCAGAGGAAGCTTTAAGAAAGAAGTGGAATTTGAGGCTTGAAGGATTTATTTGTGCAGAAGCAGGAACGAGAAAGGACAAACAAAAAGCCAGGGATGAGAGGGGTAAGGTATAGCTGAAAGACAGGAGGTAGTTGGTTCAATCCAAGTGGACCCTGGGTTATGTGCAGGACAGCAGGGAAGGCTGAGGCCTGAAACCTTCCCTAGGTGAAACCAGATCACAAGGGGCTTCAAGTACCAAGCTAAAGAGTGTCTGTCTAAAATTGAAGGTCCTTAAATGGCTTTTCAGAGGACCAAAAAAAAAAAAAAAAAAAAAAAACCAAATGGGAAAAGAACTAAAGGAAAAAATAAGACCTAAGACTCTGAGGCATGATGTCAGTAAGAATTGGCGGAACATGGGCTTATTGACCTAGTTAGTTCTCTTCTGAAAAAGCCACATAGGTTTACAGAAAAAAAAAGGAGTTGATTTTATAAACATACTTGTTCATTAGAAGGGTTGAAGCATTCTTTCTAAAATGTGATATAATTTTTATATTTAAGTTAAAATGCAATTATAAGTATTTTTCCTTGATTGGATAAAATAGATCTAGAATTTAAATTTTATTCGTGAATTGTTTCCCTCCCTCTCTCCCCCCCTCTTCCTTCCTACTTGCATTTGTGTTTGGTTCACTCCTCTCTCTTAGACAATAGATATTTTCTCGTTTTTTAAGTTCCAATTTCTCGTCATGTTTTGAATGCTGTTTTATGTTTAAATTTCATATTTATTGTAACATGAACCCTCAGCCACTAGGACATCCAATATCCCTAGAATGGCAGAGTTGAAAGGAACAGTACAGATGATCTATTCTAACATTCATCTTACAGCTGAGACAACAAAGGCTCAGAGAAGGAACATGACTTTTTCAAAAACATAAGAGCTAGTTCAAGGCAGAAATGGGACTTGGACTTGTTTTCTGGCTCCTTTTTAGTGCTCGTTTCAGTTCATCATCTGAGTACGTGTCAGGGCTCTGGGGACTCTACCTTCTTGAGAATGGTTTAGGGAATCTCAGTAGACTTCTCATGTACTACTGCAGGACTTAGAATCTATGAAGTATTTAGAGCTGGAGGGAACCTAAAGATCCTTAAATCCAGCATCTTCCTTGATATAGTCTAAATGGTCCCTCAAAAATTCATGTGTTGAAAAGAATCCCCAGTGCAACAGTGTTGGGAGTTGGGGCTTTTTGGGAGATATTTGGGTGAACAGGTTAATACCACTGTAAAAGGGCTTGATGGAAAAAGTTTGGCCCCTTTTCCTTCTCCTATCCCTTCTGCTATATGAGAACACAGTGTCCTCCCATCTGAAAAAATGTAGCATCAAGGTGCCATCTTGTAAACAGAGAGCAGTCCTCACCAGAGAGCTGAACCTGCTGGTACCTTGATCTTGGACCTCCCAGCCTCCAGAACAGTCAGAAATAAATTTCCATTCTTTATAAAGTCCCCAGTCTCAGCGATTCTGTTAAAACAGTACAAATGGGTGAAGAAACTTATTTTGCAGAGGAGAAGACCAAAGCTGAAAGAAGTAAGGGGGGACCTGCTTAACTCACATAGCTGGAGACGTGCAGAACAAGGTCAGGGATTCCAATCTGCTGACTCCCAGGCCCATGCTTTCATTCTGTATATGCTCATCCTTAGTTTCAAAGTCTCCAGTTCAAAAATTCATCTCTTTATAGTCACATATACTGAAAGGAAGTCTGCTTCACAATGCCTAGAGGAGCTTCAAGTGGAATGTGTCCAAACCAGGAGGAAATAATTCCTTTGATTTTCTTCTGGATGTCAGTGCAGGTTGGTGTGTGGTGAAGGTAGGGGTGTGGAAAGCTGGCCAATTCTGCTTTACGAGTTCTTTATTCTTTCACACCCAGAAAGTACCACAGCCATTGAATTCTTGGTGAAATCAGAACATAAAATAGTGAAAGTGGGGTTGGGAACCTGGTAAAGCAATACTCAACATAGCCAAAACCAAGATTGCATACTTACATAGTATTTCTATAGCCATTTAGTTCTTCACACTCACAAAGTGAACACACAGCTCAAGGCTCAGTGGCCAGACTATGTAGTGGAGGTGGGATGTGCCAAGGTGTACATGCATGCGAAAGAACAATGTAAACTATGAAACATGTACAACAGGAAAAAGCAGAAAGAAATCCATATCTCTCCCTCTGATTATCTTGTTATCTCTCCTCTGTCATGGATTAGACCCAGAGAAGAATATTAGCCTAAATCTCCAGCAACTGTTCATCGTTTTCAACCTTTCCTGCTTGGTAAAATCACCTGGGAGCTTTGAAAATAATATTGATGCCTGAGCTTCACCCCCAGAAATTCTGATTTACCTGATGCAGGATGGAGTTTACAGATCACGATTTTTTTTAAGACTAGATACCTAATGTGCAACTAGGATGGAAAATGACTCAATTAGACTATCAAGTATCTTTCCCTGACTGCTGGGATCCATTCCTTGTGCTGCTGTGAACAATTTTGTAGCCACTTAGGGCTAAATACACTTATAATGTGGTCTTACACTGCATTCATTCAATTTAATAGATATTTGGTGAGTGGTTTCTGGTACATGGCTAGGTGAACTTCAGTGGGTACATAGGTAAATGAAAATGTCCACTGCTCTAGAAGAGTTTATACAAGTAACTGTGGCCTAGTAAGGGAGCAATGATCTTTCCCAAGGAAATGCAAAAGGCTTCATGCATTTGACCTTGAAGATTCTAAACATATAGAAACCCTTTTTATATTCATAGAAGATCCATTTGTAAAGAGAAACCTGCCTAATTGAAAATTTGCTTTGATAAGTCTACCATGAAAACAAGCCTTGGACTGGTGCCTGGGTTTGAAAAGTGAAAGCTTCTCTGCATAATAGAGAGTGAGAGCAGGTGATCAGCACTAAATGCAATGTAAGGAAATAGTCAAAAGCACACTTAGTGACTTTTAGAGATGGGGTCTCAATCTGTCACCCAGACTGGAGTATAATGGCATGATCATAGCTCACTGTAGCCTCAAACTCTTGGGCTCAAGTGACCCTCTCACTTCAGCCCCCTGAGTAACTGGGACTACAGGTACGTGCCACCACACCGAGCTATTAAAAAAAATTTTTTTTTGTAGAGACAGGGTCTTGCTATGTTGCCCAGGATGTTCTCAAACTTCAGGTCTCAAGCAATCCTCTTGCCTCAGCCTGCCAAAGTATTGAGATTACAGGCCTGAGCCTGTAATTGTGCCCAGCTGTAAGGCCATTTTTAAAAAGAACTGTTAAAAATGTCAATTATGGAATGTAAATCTCATTTTCACATTTATTAAGAATTATTCCATAAAATACACATTGCTCATTATTTAGTAAGAGTGAATTCTGTATGAAAAATTCAAAGAAGTGCTGAATCCCACCTTGAGATTGTCAAAAGAAAACCAGAGGGTGCACATGGGGCAGCTGCCTTATGTGTGGGTTTGCTAGACTTTACCATTAAAATTGCAGGACACCCAGTGAAATGTAAATTTAAATGAATACAATTTTTTTTTTACTATAAATACATTCAATGGAGTATTTGTGCATACTTATATATTTTTTTCTAGGAATTTTTCATTTTACTTAAGTTTTAAAAATTTTTATCACAAAGGTTTTTAGTATTCTCTTTTTATTTTTTATTTTTTTTAAATTTTACTTTAGGTGCATACTATATCTGGCATTTCTCCCCGTGTTATCCCTCCCCACCCTCCCCAGCCCCCCACTGTCTCTCCCCTACCCACCCCAACTGCCTCCAGTGTGTGATGCTCCTCTCCCTGAGTCCAGCTGCTCTCGTTGTTCAACACTTACCTATGGGTGGGTGAGAAGATGCAGTGTTTGGCTTTCTGTTCTTGTGTCACTTTGCTGAGAATGATGGTTTCCAGATTCATCCTAGTCCCTACAAAGGACATGAACTCATCATTTTTTATGACTGCATAGTATCCCATGGTGTATCTGTACCACATTTTCTTTGTCCAGTCTATCATTGATGGGCATTTGGGTTGGTTCCAGGTCTTTGCTATTGTACACAGGGCTGCAATGAACATACGTGTGCATGTGTCTTTATAGTAGAACAATTTATAGTTCTTTGGGTATATACCCAGTAATGGGATTGCTGAGTCAAATGGAATTTCTATTTCTAGATCCTTGAGAAATCACCACACTGTCTTCCACAATGGTTGAACTAACTTACACTCCCACCAACTGTGTAAGAGTGTTCCTATTTCTCCACGTCCTCTCCAGCATCTGTTGTCTCCAGATTTTTTAACGATCACCCTTCTAACTGGCGTGAGATGGTATCTCAATGTAGTTTTGATTTGCATTTCTCTAATTACCGGTGATGATGAGCATTTTTTCATATGTTTGTTGGCCTCATATATGTCTTCTTTGGAAAAGTGTCTGTTCATATCCTTTGCCCACTTTTGAATGGGGTTGTTTGTTTTTTTTCTTGTATATCTGTTTTAGTTCTTTGTAGATTCTGGATATGAGCCCTTTGTCAGATGGATAGATTGCAAAAATTTTTTCCCATTCTGTTGGTTGCTGGTTTGCTCTAATGATGATTTCTTTTGCTGTACAGAAGCTCTGAATTTTAATTAGATCCCATTTGTCTATCTTGGCTTTTGTAGTCATTGCTTTTAGTGTTTTAGTCATGAAGTCCTTGCCTATGCCTATGTCCTGGATGGTTGTGCCTATGTTTTCTCCTAGTGGTTTTATGTTTAAATCTTTAATCCATCTGGAGTTAATTTTAGTGTAAGGTGACAGGTAGGAGTCCAGTTTCTGCTTTCTGCACATTGCTAGCCAGTTTTCCCAATGCCATTTATTAAACAGGGAATCCTTTCCCCATTGCTTGTTTTTGACAGGTTTGTCAAAGATCAGATGGTTGTAGATGTGTGGTGTTGCTTCTGGGGCCTCTGTTCTGTTCCATAGGTCTATGTCTCTATTTTGATACAAGTACCATGCTGTTTTGATTACTGTAGCCTTGTAGTATAGTTTGAAGTCCAGCAGTGTGATGCCTCCAGCTTTGTTCTTTTTGCTTAGGATTGTCTTGGCTAGCGCATACTTATATTAAACACTTTTTCATTTGGTTTGATGTTTTTTCTGGCAGCCCTATTATGGGTTACGGTTGGATAGGGATTTTATAATCAGAGAGGGAGATAGGAAATGGGCAAAGGTACAGAGGAGGTAGAGTATAAGGTACATTTAGGGAATAGGGAGAAGTAGGGTGAGAGTGCAGTGTCAAGTGTGTTGGGAGTCGTCTGGGCATTAAAGCAGGAAAATAAAGCTACAT